CTTTTGCAAAAAAGTGAGCGCATCTTGTCGAAATAACTTAGATATAACAATCAATGTCTTTTCAGCAGTAAAAGTGTCAGCCTCTTGGGCCGTAAATTACTCATCTAAGATACTGAATCTTGATTTATTTATCTATCAAAACAATATATCACACCAGACAACTTTTGTAGGTTGTCTTACCTGCATACTTCCGAAATAGTCTTATAAGGTGCAAAATTCTTCAGCTACTTTTCAGTACAGATTTTTATTGATAACTAAGAATTAAAATAATCCCTTATCAACATCAGACATATCTGTCAGTTAACAACTTTAGCTAATAAACTACGCTGAAATATTTTAAGGTGACTTGAAGTAAGATAGCTGGCTTGCAGATGCTTTTCAGCTGTAACATTATTGATGCTTGATGCTTTTTCAGCGATTTATCAGTATAATTTATGGTTGAGGAGTCATTTCATGCAATTCCAAGGGTAAACTATGTTTAGTATAAGAACGATCATGAACAATATTTGAACTAGTTTACCAGTTTCTTGAGTGAATCATGGAAGGGCGACAGGAAACAGTATGTTACATAACTAAACTATTCATCTTCAATAGGATTTTAGTGCAAAATCTGTTTTTATCAAAAATGTAATCAAAGAAACAGAAAATGTACTACATGCATAAGATAACAGAGATATAAAATCATGACTGTATTGTGATTACAGCAAGATCAGTTGACTGTGTAGCAACGATCATTTTTCGATTTATAATGTTTACTGCTATTCTGTGAATAAAAGAAGAGGCTCTATTCTCCCACGAAATGGATAAAATTATCCTCATTTCAATGAATTGTATATTTATCCACAGGTTTCATTCAGAATCGAAAAATATTTTTGCTGTAAGAGTATATCTTAACGTAATCCCGGTGTGTTTAGAAAATAAAAACGAGTTTTGCCTGGAGGTTTCGCTCTGTCAGCCATAGATTCTTCAGTAGAATATTCACGCTTTATATTAATACCACGGTATATGGTGAAATTGAACACCAAATATTTTGTGTATGCAAGCTAATGGTTTGTAGTTCAGACTGAGTTTGTCAGCGAAACACCTATGGGCAGTCGAAGTATGTATGTGCATGAATGTTGTATAATATGTGCGTTATTTCCTGTACATGTAAGTGATGAACAATCCGTAATTGTGATCTTTGCAGATGGACAGAAATTGAAGAACCATTTGAAACACGAAAGCACTAGGGAGCTATTTCGTCCTAGTATGGAACCCCTCAACAGTGCTCAACCACGCAACAGCTGTCCAGTGCTTCCAGGTTTTCAATGGTTCCCCAACTGACGTCAATCCATTTTGAATACTATACTGAAATAAATAAACCCACCATAAACTTCAGACTAAGTCCATAACTGTCACTGTCACTGAAGTTTTAATCAGAAAAGGTCGTAATGAATTGTTTTGTCAGATTAATGTTTACCAAATAAATGAGAAATCCATTCAGTCTCTTCTCCTCCCGGCATCTGACCTTGTTAAAAGATGTAGCGCTTCTGAGGATAATCTTTCTTTGTTTGAACAGAAGACTTCTTTACATAACCTGTGTTCATTCACCCTAACTTTGAAGAGTTTATTAATGTCTCCAATATAATTACGCTTTAAGATAGGAAAACTTGTTCACTTTAACTAAATTGTTTCCATTTTGGAAAATCTGAAGGGATACTGAATTCATCTTGCTTAAACAAGTGCAAATAAATCAAGATCATAACATTCATTACAGCAGACAAATAAAGATAACATAAATTAGAGACAGGTCGGCGAAGAATAAATCCAAAATTACGGTAACGTATTAGTTTCTGAAAATTGTTATAATAAGATAAAACATCATCCAAATTCACCGCTGAACTACAAAATATAACTGCTGATTGTCAGTGCTGTTCAAATAGGTTTAAAGCTGAAAAAGTACAACCACTAAAGAAATAAAATCTGTTATGCAAAACGATATATTGATTACATTTTATTCGCAGTCAGAAAAACTTCATAACCGCAGGTTTTTGAGATAGATTAACCAAACTCTATCTTTCTTGAAGTGATGTGAACAGTTTTTATTCTCAGTGCTTTCATTGCTTAATAAATACAAGACGATTAAGATTAGTGCAACTAAAAAACATTTTATGCAGAAATAACGACTATTGGAGCAGTACACCTTGGATCCACATTATCGTCATAGTTTCTCCACAGCCGGAAACGTTTGAAAATCAAATAACGTGGGAATCTGCCCTAACACTTAACAGCTAAATAAAGCCAGATAGCAGGAAGTGACAGTATCAGTAAAAGTATCTGGATGAATATTTGAAAAATGCTAAGAGGTTCCAGTTATATGAATTCCTTAAACAGAGACAGCATTTTCCTACATCATATATGCATTATCGTAAGAAAGATAAAGAAATGTGATGCAAATACTTACCCAATCATTATTCACGCCATTTCAACGCTATGTCTATTTCATGCTAGGCCTAACACTGTATGTCGAAAACTAATTCGCCAAATGCTTCAACACTACAAAACACCACAACATTTATCAACCTCATTCAACAAATATACGAAGACACCACATGACAAGTATTTCACAATGGAAAGATCAGTGATGACTTCGAAGTGAAGACACGAGACAGGAGTAAGAGAAGACTGTCTACTATCACTCACCATCTTCCTGATTGTGGTCGACTGGATCATACAACAAACAGTGAGGAGAGACAAGAGGAGGATACGCTGGCTGGACCACGGAAAACAGCCTAGAAGATTTGGATTTCGCCCATGATGATGATTCATGTCTGATGTCTTGTTGCACAAACTCGAAGATCTACAGGGGAAAACTAACAAGTTGACAGAAGGGGCAGAGCAGTGAACGTGGGACTTGAAGTGAAGGTAGAGAAGAGAGAGGTGATGATGATACACAACCAACACCACCAACAAGAACAAAATGAAGAAGCTGCAATCACCATGAACGGGAGAAACTTGAAGGAAGTAGTCTCTTCCACCTATCTAGACAGAACAGCATCATTTCAAATACAGGCGGCAGCGGCACAGACACAGATGAGGATGTCAAAGCCATACAGGATCGGAAAGACAGCAAGACAGACGTTCATTAACCTGAAACTAGTGTGCAGTTCTTCCACACTGCACTACACTACACTCCACTCAGCATAAAGCGTGAACAGGATCCGAATTTCCAACACCAATTCAGTCGAGTGAGTCAGTGCTTCCATGTGATGGTTGAGAGAGTTGGCGCGTTACGAGAGGCATTTGCAACAAACTACACATATTCATCGAAGACAGCCTAATCTGGCTGCTTACTGAATCTCAGATGGCCAGAACAATCGAAGTAAGCAACAAGGAACTGTGGCTGGCTGGCTGGCTGGCAACGAACCAAGCAAGAAGCTATCGTTTAACAAATATGTCCTGGAAGGAAGTGGAGATGGATTGGACATGCAGTGAGAAGACCGATTAAGGACATCATGCGTCAGGCATTCGAGTGGAATCCAGATGGGTGACGACGAGTTGGGCGTCTGAGATTGGGGTGATATGGAGGAGATCGTGTGAGGAGGAAATGAGAGATTGTGGGTAGTGGTGACGCCAAGTTGAAAAGATTGCAGAGAAGATAACGGAATAAAGACGTGCTACTGAATCCCCATGTTTCACTAGGAACCCAATGGACACGTAATAATAATGATAACAGAGAACCCTTGTTGGCAGAATGTTTTGATTCAGTTTTACTTAGTTTACTGGTTACTTCAACCAGTTACTCCTACAATTTCTGAAATAGTTTGTTGAAATTTTCTCTAAACAACTGATTGAAATTCAAATACAGGATGCCAATTTCAAATAGTTTTCAAACTGAGAAGACTCATTTCACCACCTCTAAATGCAATGTGATTAAATATATGCTCACATATATTCTTCCATTCTCACAATTATTTCGACAGTTCTGTATGACAACCATCAAATTCATAACCATAAATGAGGATGATGATGAGCAATAACTCTGTTGCCATCTGTTTCTGTTTACCTAGACTTTTGGATCAATATGATGTTTTGCAAGCTGTTATTAAATATATCATTCATATATTCTCTGGCATACACTTTCGAGTCAAATAGAAACTGAGACTTGTGGGCTTACACTTTATAACGAGATGGTAAATTATGTCCTTATAGAGCGACATATACCTTAACACTTTCTCTGATAACCGTCATGCTTAAATGGCAAAGTAAGCCTGTTTCAGAAAATAAATTCATTCCCCTATAGTGAATGTGGTAGTGAAAACTGAGTCACTGAAAATAAAGCGTTAACCATGATGCTGACCAATACAAGTTTTAGTTTCTAGTTTAGTACTTTATTAGATTACTATGTTTGTTGACTACGGTTGAATACGTGGAGCCAGCTTTATAGTCGTTCGATGTTGTTTCTTTCTAGTCTGTGTGTGTTATATATCCTGGCAATTCCCATTCTTTTATCAACAAGATGAAGCTTTTTCATTAAAATCTGTGATGTTCATTGAATGAAACGCTACAGAGACGAAATACATAATATTTAAATATCCCAATAGTTCGAGAATACATCTGAGAATACAGTAGTTTTGTTAGTGAAGCAACTTAAATATTCAGCAGTTGAATGTTCTATGAGAGGTGATATTCTGGGCATCATTAAATCAGTAGAATTTTGGTCATGAGGTTTATGAAATTAGGGTCATAGTTTGTGTATTATGGGAATTATTTAACCACCCAACGTTTAGTATTAAATCCGTAATGAAACTAGAACATGGTCGTAAACTGAATGAATATACTTACATAACCTTCACATTTTGCAGCAACTTACAGTAAACATGTGACAGATACTAATGTAAAAAAATTAAGACAATGGATTATTTTCGCTTATGAAACTGCTGATGCCTAAGAAACATACAAGTGTTTTCCAAACAAGAAAATGTTTATCTTAATCTCTTTAAGAGAACAAGACAGGTAGAAAGCATTTCATTCCAAATTACATTTATATCAAGCTGAAGTATATTTCACAAAAAGTTGTGTAATCCAATAAACACAAGGCTATCATTGTCATAGATAGCATGAAATCCAATTATTTGTTACATGATGAAGACGAGCGAAAAGAGGTAAACAAGTGATCGAATAGGTCTAGACTTGCTCAATGTTCAATATGAAATACAGAATCTATAAAAAGTAACTCCATCTTTTCAGTCAAAATGGATAAGATTGGTAGTTGATTAAAAACAAAAGCATGTCAATCCTACGAACTGCATGTAAACAGTGTAGATACATAAAATGAATTCCTTTCATTCATTGGCTATGAGTTGACTTGATGTAAATACATCGCCTCAAATTATGCAGATTGATAGGCGAATATAGATTGTCAACATGTATATATTCTCAATCATCGATGCATTTGCTTCAGTTTATTTGAGCTCTGTTGAAATCTTGATGCTTTGGCTATTCTACGTTTTCGGTATTGTTATTTGCCTTACTACACCGACACATGTATACAGTAATAGTATTAATCGTACAGTAATAGGACAATCTCCATTTCCTTTACAATATCAAATTCCTCCAGAAGAATTTTTTGAAGATATACCACGCGAATTAAGAAATGACTTTGAAAGATGCTTGCAGGAAGCAGTCAGAAAGGCACACGGTGAGAAGTCAAAGAACTCTGCCAATCAGTACCGCAGAAACATTCTTTTATTGAGTGTTTGTACCATTTTCACTACAATAGCTATGTTCACATGCATATAGAATTTTTCATAAAAAGTTAGTTTTTAATATTTTACTAATTCTCTTTTAATTATGGTTAACTTGTAAATTTATTGCTGACATAAACTATACACATATATGATAAAGATTGACTTCTTAATTTGGTGTAGTGGACATTTAGGCTACATCGAGAAATGTTAACATCACGTAACTACCTGGAACGATGGTTATGTGCTAGTGACAAGAAACATCATAGTGGTATAAATGCTATATCATTATCTAGCCTATGTAAAACCATGCCAGTCTACTAAGCACCTGGGTAAATTCAATTGCCAGAGTTGGTGAATCTGTTTAGCTACCTTAGATCGTTCAGCATATCTCAAACTAGGAGACTGATTTGCGAACTCTGGAGTAAGTTGTATCATATTACATAGTTGAACAGCTTATACTATACGTATAAAAGAGAAATTCTTCAGGATGAATGGTTGTGGTAAAATGTGTATGTGATGAAATACTTCATTGTCTTGGTAACAAGGTCTCTAGAATTATTCTCTAGCGTAACACTTCAGATATCATAGCAAAAGGATTCTTCTCCATAGAAATATATTCAATAGAAGCTTCTTGAAATGAAGGCGTATTTAATTTTGGTTACACAAGAAATGCCATAAGCTAAAGCAATTAAATCTGATAATATCGTCATAAGAGTAGTAATTCCACTGCTCATTCAGCACAATCATTATAGTTTATCGTAGAAACGTGCAGTTTACCACTTTTCGTCTTCTCAGCAATCTAAGATTTAAAACACAGATCTGGCAACTGTATATAGCCGCAGTGGAATTCCCATCAAAATAGCTTCTAACCTCTTTTATTCTCACAAAATATTTCTGCACTGCAATACTCACATAGGAAAGACACAAACAAGAAATTTACTGTTCTCCAGTGACAACTTATCCCGCTTCAGTCATATTTGGGCTTGCTTAGTTTTGGTTGTAACTTCATATGACAACATCTACAAAGAGTGACATGGAATGAGAACTCATAACTCTGTAGCTGTTTACTTTCATTAGTATTCTATTCATCATAAATTTCCTCATCATTTCCATATCTACCCTGAAGTTGTTTCCTCATCTCTTGGCTTGAATTTAATGTCGATCATTACCCTTAGTAAGTAGTTTCCTGGATGGTGTTAAAAGCAATAAGCCTGTGTGAAACTCTAAATTACAATGATATCTAGAAATCAATTAACTTGAGACGATCAAGTACAACAAGTAAACCTGCTCAGCTGATGTTAATGAAAGTAAATTAACTGTACGACTTCACACAAAATGCAGTAGTAACTCGTTTAATTTTCGGAAGCTAGGGATTCGCCTTTTATTATGTAAGAGTTGCCTTCCAGATGCAAGTATAACTTCGTACATTGAATCCGATTCATTATGAACAAAGTGCATCAAAATCGTGAATGAAAATTAGCAGTAGAGTATGAATACAAAATGTACAAAATCGTTTTGGCTACTAACTTGATTTCAGTGGTAAGTTTATGTTTGCAAAAGACAACCTGAAAATCACAGGAAGACGCGATTGCATATATTAGGGAGTGCAGTCATGTAACTCACATTACCATTTTTAGACTACGAACAGCTTGCATATCCCATGAACTTGCCATCAGTGATAAAGACTTATAAGGACTGACACTTTGGGAAGTAGGATGAGTTACTGAATCGGTGGGAAAAGAAAAATTGAAGTAATGTGTGAAGCTTTGTAACAAGTATTTTCCAGAATATAAAAATAAACAGATTGTATGCTTATCAGATGATAGAATGTCTGATAGATTGCCTACCGCTGACTTGTGTACCGACCATTGTTATATGGACAACCCAGTAGGTGTAATCATTGTGAGTACGTTCATTGCAAACTGAAACAGAGCTGGAAGGATTTACAAATTGCGACAAATCGGTATCAAAAAAGGATAATAATAATAATATAAGACGAAGAAGCAGAAGACTATCCAAAACCCTCTCCTCAACTTGCTTCATAGTTAAATGTATACATCAAGAGTTCTGATCACTTTCAGATAGCTTCGTGGGTCTACTGATTTATCTAAACACTCTTATAAATTAAGATCTTCGTCCAGACAAGTATAGAACTTGCTTTTTATTGACCAGAGTTTTGGACTATTTTAATGGATATTTTGCATCAATAATAATAGTTGCAAATCAAGTTGTACAACATTTCGGTGGTTAACTAGTTTGCTAGTTACTAGCCGGTCCTAAGCCCGGGTATACAGAGAAGGTTGGGCATAGGGCTAGCAACCCTACCCCGTAAAACAAATCTAACCGCTAAAGAAACTTCAAAGCACAAACAAAATATAAAAAATAATAAAAAAATTATTCCTCGCTGGAATTGGAGAGGCGAAATGACGCCGATTGGTGAAAGCCTTCGGGAAGCCAATTGGCCGGTGTGTCTTCTCTCGATGAAAGCGAAAGTAGACGTGGGGACATGGAATTTCCGCACGATGTTTGAACCCAGTAAGGCAGCCCAGATTGCAAAAGAGATGAGAAGGTATCACATTGAAGTGCTTGGAATTTGCGAAAGCAGATGGAATGGGAGTGGACTCTCCAAACTGTCAACTGGAGAATCAACAATCTACTCCGGTCACCCAGACGCCAACCACGAGCACACTGAGTTATGGAGTGGCTATCATGATGTCCTCAAGAGCATCGAAGGCCTACTCTCATGCAGTGGGAACCAATCTCCTCCAGGATCATGACCGTCACAGCAAGATTCAACTCAAAAGGAAGGAAGAAAGGTCACAATCATACAATGTTATGCACCTACAAATAATGCAGAGCAAGAGAAAAAGGAGGATTTCTACAGACAACTGCAATCAACACTGGACAAGACGTCAGTTGGCGATATCAAAATTCTAATGGGTGACATGAATGCCAAACTGGGAGTCAACAACATAGAAAGAGAACTAACCATGGGTCGAGAAGCACTAGGTGAGGTGATGAACGAGAATGGAGAATTGTTTGCAGAATTCTGCGCATTCAACGATTTGGTGATTGGAGGCCAGGCAGTGTGTTCAGGCACAAAGATATCCACAAAGCGACATGGATTTCACCAGACACCAGGACACACTACACTAAAAATCAAATCGACTTTATCTCAATCTCAAGAAAATGGAGACGCAGTCTACTTAACACAAGGTCAAGAAGAGGAGCAGATGTAGGTTCACACCACTCACTATCTAGTGCAAGGAACCTTCCAAATCAAGTTAAAAGCCTTCAAGGAAGCTGGTGATAGACCTCAATTCAAGTACAACACTCGGAAACTGAAGGATGAAACTACAAAGGAGATCTTCACTTCAGTAAGCCATCAAGACAAAATGGGAGACATCGAGCAACATCCCTGAAGAAATCTGTGTGGAAGAACACTGGAAGTCTTTGAAAGCTATGTGGAAAGAAACCTGCACAACAGTATTAGGAAGGAAGAAGAAAGAAGACAAGGAATGGATCTCGACGGATACCTGGAAACTGATAGAGGAGAGGAGGATGGTGAAGCAGAAGATAAACCAGTGCAGCGCAGGGATGCTCAACGACAAGAGGAACTGAGCACAATGTATAAAACACTGGATAAAGAAGTGAAGAAGAGTGCACGCAAAGACAAAAGACACTTCTACGACACACTGGCAAGTGAAGCAGAACAGGCTGCCGACTGGTAAGAGAGACCTGACGACATTGTATCAAATAACCAGGTTGCTATCAGGGAAGAGACCAACACAGATGAAACCAATAAAAGATGATGACGGAAATTCAATTACGAAAGAAGAGAAACAGAGGAAACGATGGGCCGACCACTTCAAGAAGCTCTTGAATCGACCACCACCACCACCTGCACTTCGTCCAGAAATACCACCTGCAGCCGCTGAACTACAAGTGAACATAAATCCCCCAACGAAAATGGAATTCCTGAACGCCATAAAGCTACTGAAACGCGGGAAAGCAGCAGGACCAGATGGAATACCGCCAGAAGCACTGACAACAGATGCAGAGACAACAGCGGACATGCTTACACGACACCACTATTGCAGAAGGTGTGGAAGGAAGAGAAGGTACCTGGCCACTGATTGGAAGAAGGGCTACCTTGTCAAACTGCCGAAGAAAGGAGACCTGATTGCTTGCAAGAACGGGCGCGGAATCACTCTCCTGTCCACCCAGAGCAAGTAAAATATTAAGCCGCATCATCCTGGAGAGGCTTAAAGATGCACGTGATTCAAAACTGCGACCGGAACAGGCAGGCTTCAGGAAGTACAAATCATGTGCAGACCAAATTGCAACGCTTCGCATCATCATAGAACAGAGTACAGAATGGCAATCTGCTCTCTACCTCAACTTCATCGACTTTGAGAAGGCCTTTGACAGCGTCGACCGAGAGGTAATTTGGAAACTGCTTCAATACTACGGAGTACCGCAAACCTTTATCCGCCTCATTCAACAACTATATGGAGATGCCACATGCCAAGTAATTCACAATGGGAAGCTCAGTGATGCCTTTGAAGTGAAGACAGGAGTGAAACAAGGTTGCCTACTATCCCCATGATATTCCTGATTGTGTTCAACTGACTGGATCATGCAGCAGACAACAGTGGGGAGCTGTGAGAAGAGGGGGATACACTGGACTGCGGAAAAGAACCTAGAAGACTTGGACTTCGCCAGTGATAACTTGTGTCTGATGTCACATAAACTTGAAGGCAAAAACTAATAAGTTGATAGAAGAGGCAGCGAAGACGGGACTTCAGGTGAATATAGAGAAGACAGAAGTGATGAAGATACCTCACCACCACCATCAACAACAACAACAAACTCCAGTCACCATCAACGGGAGAAACTTAAAGGAAGTAACCTCCTTCACTTATCTAGGAAGCACTGTTTCAACTACAGGCGGGACGGACGAGGACGTCAAAGTCAGAATCGGAAAAGCAAGACAGGCGTTCATTAGCCTGAAACCAGTGTGGAGATCTTCTGCACTCAGCATGCGGAACAAGATACGGATTTTCAACACCAACCCAGTCAAGTCAGTGCTCCTGTATGGTTGAGAGACTTGGCGCGTCACGAAAGGCATTTCCAATAAACTACAGACATTC